ATTTTCTGATATATCATTCCCCAGATGGAAAATGCTTTTCTATAAAAAAGAAAGTGCTCACAGGAACATGCTGATTTGTTTTTAAATGAAAAACATTTAAGTTAAGGTAAAACCACTCTGATCAAACATTTGCAGACTAAACATTTTTTTAATAATAACTGATTCAAAACTTAATATCTATAAAATTTAAAATAAAAAATTTTGAAAAAGTATGTTCCCCCTCTTTTAAAATTTCTGCATTGTGATAAGGAGACAATATTGTCATTCCATTAAAGGAATTTCCAACTGGCCTTTTATATATCTGAGAAATTCTCGTTCAGTTTTAGATGAAACATTGCTGAACTTGGTGCAATTTTAAGGTACAATGCTAAAGAAATATCGATTTATTACCATCTTCTTTTCCAGTATCACGCAACAGTCAAATAAATTCATAGAAAATCTAGAAACATTATTGGGAGGTAAGGGGTTTTTAGCAGAAGACTAATGTTAATTAACAGAATTAGGAAGTTACGATATTGCTACTATTTCAAAGCAAAAAGAAAGTCAAAGTATCAGTATATCTGTTAATGCTTTGGGTAACAGCATTTAATGTGTTTATCAAAAGTACAAGTCTGTATATACGGATGTCTGAATTTAAAGACTTATACATCTGCACTTCAGAAATATATTATCACATGTCCAATAGTAAATACTAATGAGGACAAATTTTCACATTCCAAGAGAGTTTCGGTCATTCAAAATGTCTTGCTCAATCTTCAAAACCCACAGTAATCGTTTTTACAGTTACTTTAATTGAAAGTACAATAATCACATTAGCAGCAGAAAATAAGAGCAAGCAGGCTTGTTTTGAGGTTAAGAAAACAAGGCACAACATAATTATTCTGAACGTGATCCAACACTCATTATGAATTGTTATGTCAGAGAATTCTTATCTGTGTGTTTAATACAGCACATATCAGCACTGAACCAAATGGCAATATGATAGTTTGGGGACTGTACTGTCTCTGTAGAACATAAGGTAATGAGATGCTATGCGAGTAGTCACAAATAGCACACTGATAAAATACGCCTGTGAGGTATAACTTCATCATTATACATGTAAATTTCACCACATTTAGTAGCATGCATGTTAGTAAAAGTCACACCTTGTATTTAGCGGTGACATTTGTTACATGCATGTGTCATAGTCTTATCACCTGGCAGCCCTTTCTCCTGTCAGAAGACAGAATCTAGAAGGTCTGCAAATCAGTGACTCAGCTCTCCAGCCAAATCACACATGATGTGTGTTCCTGCAAGAATCGGGCACGCAGATTCTTCAGCTTCTCATCCTATTTAGTCCTGACCCTGAATAGACGGTTTCTGTCCCTCAGTGTGCTGCAAGAGTTGCCCCACAAAATTTCTTTCACTGTCTGGATCTGTGCTGAAGCCACTAGTTTCTTGTGCAGATTCTCCCATATCAGGACCATTCTTCAACTCTGTTTCCCTTCACTCTTCAACTCCATTTCCCTTCACGATGCTGACAAGGGTCCCTAGTTTTCTCACCAAATTTCTCACCTAGTTTCTGGCCAGTTTATCTCTTGATAAGAGACTGCTTAATCTCCTTTATGGATTTAACAGTCCCATCTAGCCTCCAGGAGAGAGGGCCCTCTTGCTTGAATAAAGATGTCACTCTTTATCCCCTTCCTGTCAAGCCATTCAAACCTTTTTTTCTTGGCAAAAAGTTTTTTCTTCCTCTTGTTCTCGCTTTCTGGCTTTTACTCACCCTCACGAAGTCTACAAGTCACTACAAAAAGGACCTTTTTGGACCTTTTCATAGGTCTCAGGCTGGCATTTTCAGTCTCACTGGTCTTTCCATTTATTACTGCATCATTCTCTTCTGCATAAGGTGAAATGGCTTATACCTGTCCATCTTAAAAATGAGATGATGAGGATAATTCTAGCCTCCAAACTGTACTGCTAGATGTGCACCTCTAAATTTTTGTATTGACATGTGCATCTGCATTTCTCCTTAAGTAGAAGGAACTATGAATCAACTTTCCATTTTAAGAGTCAAAAGTTTGTTTTCCTGCTTAAATCTGTCCCTGAATCAACCAAAGCATCTAACAGCACTTCTCCCAGACTAAAAGATACGACTTAGTTTGAGTTGCTTGAGGTTTTGTTTTCACCTTAGCTATGAATACGTATGACATTACCATATATTTCCATAGCCTCTATAGGAAACATCCCCTTTTAGTTTTTGTACTTCATGACTTGAAACAAAGTATTCTAATTTTTTCAACTATCAAGACAGGCTGTTCTCATTCAGTATAATATCTCACCAGAATTTCTAGAAACCCTAGATCAGAATCTCTTGAACCGCTTCCTGTACTCTGTACTCCAGAGTTACGGCATTGCTTTTTTATTGTTTTCTCCCCATGGGGGTTAATCCTGTGAGGTCTACTTTTTCAGCCACTCATCTCTCACCTTAAAAATATGCTTAGTCTATTCCCGTTGACTTATCTATCAGCTGGGGATTGAATGGTCTCACCCAGCTTCAGGCTCAGGGAAGCAAAGGCTGAGAAAACTGGTCTAACACGTATGCTCCATTACTACTTCAGGAAACCAGCTTTCACCTCCAGACCCTGGGTGACAAAGCCTTATAATCATTGTACCACATTACGTGAAGTCAGGACTTCTACAGAAATTGTTCAATCCAAAAATCAGAATTGAAAAACTTTTTCATTCAACCCCGATTAAAGGAGAAAATTTATCTTTATCATTCAATATCAAAGCAAGGTAGATGATTTGACTTTTTACTCTCAGGAGAAATTTCTGAAAGCTGTCCAAGTGACCTTTGCCAGAGAGCCGCACTGGTCATCCTTCTAAAAGCCGTGGCCCAACTTCAACAAATCACAGCTAGCCTCCTTGAAGAGCCTGCCTGTAAATCCTAGTTCCAATGCCCTCAAAAACTTCCTCCACCCACTGGTACTAGGCCTTCTGCTCAGTTCTGTTGGGTAGTAAACTGAAGACCCTGATGAAATTTATTGATTGTCCATAAGGTACTGAAAGAATATTTGGCTTTGCGGGTGTTATTACCACCAGTTTAGTCTTTCCTGACTAGTCAGAAAAAGAGAGTAAATGAACTCGATGTGAGAAGGCAGAGAAAGAGAGACCTTTCTGAGGTAATATAAACATTTAGGACATATTCTATTTTTCATTTCTTAATTTTTTTAAAAAAACTTCAAATAGATCAGTGGAGTTTGGGATTTTATAGACGTGAATAAATGCTTTTATTGTATGCCGTATTTTCCATAAAAATAATGAAGAATGACATAAAAATGACCAGGTAATAACAAGGTAAATATTCAAAGGGTGACAGTGTGTGCCTCCGTTCCAGCTGCAGGTCTGGACAGAGTTGTCATCACAGAGACCAGCAATGCGTTCCAGTAAAAACTAAAACAGGCTCTCAAGCATGCAGCATAATATTTCTACTTACATTTAACCACCAAAAGCTTGGCATAATCTCGTAACTCCAACATTAATTTAATAACAAAATACTGTTAAGAGCTCTGTACTTCATGCAATACCCATAACTCAATGTGTAAAGGAGATGGGAGAAGAGATGAGACAGGATGAAACGGGACACAGGAAAAACAAATCTTGATGTCCTAGAGAAGGAGATAAGAAAAGTACCTCACCAAATCATCCTTACAGTTATTTTTGAAGTTAAGGTGACGATGAGCAAGTCAACATACTGGCAAGTATTTTTGACCTCAGAATTAATTTAACACAACAAAGGAGCCAAATATGGTATTTTGAAAGGACTAGTATCCCTGTAAAAAGTAATAAAGTAGCAATCTCTATTTTTTAAAAAACATGTTCTTATTGTTGCTATTTCACTTTCTTTCATATCCTGATCAGTACAGATTTTGTGAAAGCAAACAAAAACATTAATTAGCACATTGGAAATAGGAAGTAAAAGTGAATACTAAAGAGAAGGTAATTGAAAGTAGCTTACTTTATCTAAACTGTTCTAAGCTAACTGAGAAAAGTATATGATGGGCAGAAGAAAAGTAAAGAACACAAGATTAAAAGTGAATGTTTTAATTATTTTTAACACAGCTACAATTGCAAAAAACTTAATCTGGGAATGTCTCCCCAAAGGAGAAACATTTTAATGTTACCATTTTAGTGTAAAAACAAAGAAAATTATACATGAAGAATTAGGCAATTATCCATTTTCTTAGGGAAAAAAGTTTGAATATGAAAATAATACAGAAAAGAACTTGTACTTGCATCTGATTTATCTGAAGCTTTTGTGGTTATTACCACTGTGTATTTTATGCTTCTATTTCAGATAGCTCTGATTCCTCAGTTACATCTACACAGACTCTGGCTCCCATCTGCCTGGTATCAACCGCAGCATCTAAGATCCAGATGCGGGTCCTGTTACGGAGTAGCTCCTGACAGTTCAGAAACAGCTTTATCCAAAAGACCAAAGTTTGACTGCTGCACTATCAAGAAGACTGCATGCACTGAGCACTTTTCTTGTACTTAAGTGATTAAAAAGGAATGGAAACTTATTGATGCTGATCTTAGTCAAAATTATCTGAGATTTTTTTGTTACTGAGCACTTGGTGAAAAGGAGAAAAAGATTTTCAAGTTAGCAGAAGTGATGTCTTGTCTTTTCTTTCCCAGAGGTGTCCACAAATGAAAGCAAAAGAAAAGAGGAAAGAGAAAGTATACAATAACCCTAAGCATTAATGAAAAATTAAAAGTGCCAAAGCAAATGAACAATTTTATAGTTTTCCTAGAATTACTTCTTTATTTACAGAAATAAAGAAGTCTACTACAGAAAAATAGCAATGTATTTCATTGGAAACACTTGCATATGGAGAAGATACTACTTATTTCAAACTTTTGATAAAACTGCTATCCTTTTTAGACCTAAGAAGAGCCAGAACTAATCAAATAGTTGTCTCACTTCCCACATAAAGAAACCCAGCTCTGTTAATACTCACTTCTGAACCTGTCAGGTTTTTCTTTCTAATCTGTAGTAATTCTCCATATGTTTTTTCTTCCTGCTTTAACCTTTTCTCATATTCTGCTAGCTCATCTTGGAGATGATTAAATACCACCTGAACATTTTGCTGCTTAAACATCACGCCACTTAAATTTTTCCTTTGAAAGAAAAAATATTCAGTGAAGTAATCAAGATATTCTGCTATACTGTCTTTTAGTCTTTACTTACAGGTTTGATGTTTAATTTTATAATAAATAAAATAGACAGAGTCATCTCGCAAATAATGATACCCTTTAAAAAATCCCAAAGAGCTATATGACGGAGCTTATCGTGAATGTTTAGATCACTTAAAGACACTCTGCCTATCAATCCATATCCAATGAGTCTACTGAGATACATAACAGTCACAATTTTAAAAAACAGCTTGCATTTTTAAAACAACTTTCTAGAGAATGGACTGGTTCATTCCCACATGTAAAGTATCTGCTCGAATAATGATATTCTGAGACACAGAATGAGACCATGACCAGTGCCATATCGGGTAACCACTATTTTATTATTTATTGGGACTGGAAGTGGGAGCTTCACACCATTTGTGTAATACTTTGTTTCTGTCTCTGTCCATACCTAGTATGGTTTCTTTAACCTGTACATATGAAATATGTGAAGTTAAGGAGTTTTTAGGGGTTTTCACTTTGTACTAACATTCTGTTCTCTCAGGGTCTGTATTTCTGTTACTTTTAGACAGAAGCATATTAAAAAAAAAAAGTATTTCTAACTGATTTTCTGCAAGGTAACCTAAACTAGAGCTTTGTAGGTAATGTAACAGTTGGCTGCATAATAAAGACTGTATCACAATGCGCACACAAAAAAGGAAACTCAAGAGACAAGTTTAAGCATCCTTTTTCCAATTTTAAGGCTTTGTTGTGTAAGCTCAATGTTATTTTAACACTAAAATATTTTTTTTTTTTAATTTTAAACCAAATCAAACAGTCTGAGAAAGGGAAAAATCTGTCATGTAAAGATTACGCTGACTGCTCAGGAGCCATTTACGCTGTCAAGCTAGGAACAGCTGGGACCAATAATAAGCTGTTATCCTTCTTATTGATTAGCTGATACTTGACAGAACAGATGTATTTAGGAGTTTTGGAATTTAGTTTTAAATTCTGGAGGTCGTAAGATCCTCCCTCACAGTCTCTTCCGAGACTCCCTGCAGAACAACAATCCCCTTTGCAGAAAATTAGAGCATCTAAGGCCCCCTCTAAATCAGTGTCTACAAAAACCTCTCTGAAGAGAGGCTAAGGGATCCATCAAAAATTATCTAGAGTTCCTTTTCACAGAAACACCCTTCCAGTTTCCTAATCTCCAGTACATCCCCTTAACTTGCTTCGTGCCCTTATTTCCTTCTTGCTGGAGGTAGGCACACCATATGGGAACTGATGCATATAAATGGTAGGGGCTCCAATACAAGTAGGGATGCTCCTCACACAAACCGTAAGTTCACAGGATTTGCTCATCATCCTTCTAATTTAATTAGCACCAAACTCCACTGAGATTAAAAAAATTGGGTATTTCACGTTCATTCTTAACTTCAGATATGAAGACATGTCTTTATCTCTTCCAGGAGTACAAAACCAATTTTGCAAAAGCCATTGGCATATAAGATGGTTTCTAGGTGGGAAACCTATGGCATATAATTTTCCCTTGGTTAGCAGGTTAGGCTAAATTTTGCAGTAGACTTCAGTTTTGTAGTCAATTTTATTGTGGAAAAAGTATTTATTTCAAATTACTGTTATTTTGATAACATTGTGTCAATGTTTCTATTTCATTCTAGTAGCTATTATTTAGTCTTTTTATTGCATTTATGGTAAGCAATAAGTCAAGGCGGTGTTATTTAGAGAACAATGCTAGGAAGTACCTATAAAAGGACAATAGTGAAGACTGAAAGCAGAAGTAGGGACTCTTTTACCTCAAGTTTCTCCACCAGATTGGGCTAGAATTAGCCTGATGACATGCCAGAAAAATGGAAATAATAGCCAAGAGTAAACGTAAAAACAGTTAATCCTTTATTCCCAGTTTTTCTACGAAGTCAGGCTGGTATCAGCACTCTTATGAAGAGAAGAAAGATCAGTTCAAATAGATAAGTACATTTAATATTGAACTATATGCATAACACAAAATATAACAGGAAATGGCTAGAGCAGACTTTCTTAAGATAGATTGATGAAATGCCATGTGATATGTCACATTATTGGAAACATTAATAGAAGAAGGTAGATTAGCCTGAAAGAAATTTTTTTTCTGACTATTGTCACCATTAATCTTCACTAGTGAGAAACAGTAAGCAATAAAAAACCACCAATCCCAAACTTTTCTTCTCCTTTGCCCCTCAAGCGCAGAGAGGCTGAATACTCTGACAACCAGAAGACATAAGCATGCTGTCCGTTTTCAGCAAGTCATGTGATGGAGAAATTCCCGTGTGCTGTACCTTCTGGGTTCAGAGAACGACAAAAAGGAAGGAGAATATACTAGCCCTTGGGATGCATAATTTGGAATTCAGAGGGGGGGTTTTGGAAGGTTTTTTGACTTTACAGTTCTTTCTACCAGATGGGATCTCTAAAGCATGTTCTCAAAAAAAATGCGAAGTTTTCATTATTATTTATTTTAGGTCTAGAAGTTGGAGAATTTGCAAGAAAATTCCACTCTGAAAGAGAGATGGACTTCTTAACTATATAGAAACAATGAATTGCTGGAATGAACTTTCAGTGCCATTTTGTGCTGATATTATCCCATTCTTCTCTGAGTCTGAATACAACATGTCACTGATATAAAACTACTGACTACTGCCTAAAGCGCTGTGGAAAACGGGAAGAGATTTTCAGTCATGGAAAGATGCCTTCCATTCTTGAAGCTGAGTAAGTTCCACTGCATATTGGGTCCCTCTGAACCATTCTGTTTGAATTAAGAGTTGGAAAAAAACATATTCAGTCCCACATATTCAGCTAAAATATTTACATAGAAAGATTTTTTTTTTCCCCAGTCAAGAATTTCATAGAATAATCTCTTGAAGATCTTTCAACACCAACAGTACATAAGTGAATGAGATCACAGAAAGGGAGCTGTAGTATAACGATGCAAGGTTCACTTTTTCACTATTTAGTCATCCTGTACAATTCAACAGTCCAGGCTGCTTTCTCTTTGACATTGCACAGCAGGTTCACCTTTATCCTTGAAGAGTAAGCCTGCTGTGCAATCAGCATATACGGCCCTCCAAGGCTTGCGTGGCCTAGAAGGCAGCCTGCGTTATCAGGTGGATAGAGCCCTTTAAGACTATTTTCAGGACTCATCAGTCACAGTAAGTGTAGGTCCACACTTCTTAAACCAGAGAAAACACAGAGTGCGTGGAATCCTCCATTAATTAAGGATGCAACTGACCATGAATATTATCAGACTTCCGAAAGTAATTCTGATGCCCGAAATTCAATTTGGTAGGCAGACAATTTATCACGAATAACTTCTACAAATGCATTAAAACTACAAGCAGTGATCAGACAAAAATACTCTCAAATTATTGATGAAAAGTGCATTGTATTTCCTAGAAGTAATACTGTAAAATAATAAAACTACCTTTAGTAATAGTAATAAAGTGGATTATTATTATAGTGGATACTAAATTACTTTTGTAAAAGCAATAAACTACCTTTTAAAATTCATATAATAGGTAGGTCTTACCACAAATCAGTGAAAGATTTCTTTGCATTTTCCGTCTATAGTTGCTTCATGTTCGATAATTCATTTAGTTCTTTAAGTCCAATTTTTAAATTTCCTGTAGTGTGCGAGTTTTCAGGAATTTGACTGGAAGTAAATGAATTTTTTTCCTGGGAATTAAAACATACATAGCATGTAAACTAGTCAGGGCTAGATTTCCAAGGACTGTATTTTAAGCACATGATTATGGGCAACAATTCATGCAGTTGTACACCCAAAGAAACAGAACTTCTTTCAGAGGGGGCAGCTGAAGCACTTAGTGCAACTGGAATAATTGCATTTCTGTAAGAGCATAGCTTTGCACATCCAGTTACGGTTGTCCAACTTGTAGCACAATTCTTCTACTATATATAGATTTAAATAAGATATATAAATTTTATTATGGCACTTGTATTTCTGCAGTTGCCTATGTTGTATATGGATGTACGCATATTTGTAGGCCACCGTCTTCATAAAATACATATTCTCTTTTATTTTTGCTCTCATACATAAAAGTTTTGCAAATAAGCACTGGCTTGCACAGCAAAAACTTTATTAATGACAGTGAAAAGTCACAATTTTCACATATGACCCAAGTCTGGGCCTACGTCAGCGTATGCAGAGTCAGTGTCTTAACTGGCAGCTTTTATTGCTAGACCATGAAAGTATTACAAAATGTAATACTGTTTTAGGCAGATACCTAAAACACTTGACTTTCAGGAAAAATCAGTATTTTTAGATTACATTCTCCAGGCAGAATATGGCTTACTTGTTATCTCTGAAAACTGACATTATTCATTTAGTTGCCTCAATAGAGAGTTTTCCTCTTTTAGATGTCAAGTTTTTCATAACATAGTTGTCCTGTACTCCAGAGAGCGGAGGATTAAAGCACAGAAAACAAGACTTCTGAACTCCTGCCTACTTTCCTCAGCTACAAGTACACAACTCAAAGAGATGCTGACATTAAGCTGCTGAAAACCTTTAAATTAAAAAGTGTTTTCACTAAACTTCCCATTCTACAGAAGAGAGATTAGATAGCAGTGTCTTCTTCATTCCAAAAGTGACTGACAGTCACAGGACCCCAAAACGTAAAGGTTCATGACACAAGCAAACTCTGCTTTGAAGAGCAACAGTATATGGTAAACAAAGCTGCAGCTTGCCCACAATGAATAAAGTAAACATAAAGCACTGTTGCAGTTCGATAGTAATAAACAGGTGGGAGTCTTCTGTTTGGGTGATACTTCTAAAGCGGTCTTGTTGCATTAGATTTTGAAACCCATACTAATGGGGTGTAAGAAGCTATGTAAATGGGTTAAATTAAGAGGGAGGAAAATACCTTATATATACACATATACACATATAATTTAAGTACACACGTGTATAAATACCAAATTTCAAGACCTCACAATTCAGTAGGCAAAGAATGCATCACAGTATTTAAATAAAAAAAAAAGTATTTTAAAAATTTCTTCTTTAGATACTGCCCCATTTTTCTGAACCAGTAGCCTGATGCATAGTCTAATGATCTTTTTCCTTATGAAAGAAGTGCTTCTTAGAGGTATACCTAAAAGGTAGCTGTAAAAAAATGAGGAATCAAAGCTTTCGTAACAGATGTTAGCACAGATATGAAGGTGTGAAAGGTACCACAAGAACATGACATTTTTAAGGTCTCTGAACTTTGTAAAAGTGTAATATGTGTCTGTATAGGATTAGATGGAAATTTCAGGTTTCTTGCAGGAACATGGAATCATTAGAAAGAAAATGGAGATATGGTAATTAATGCAAATCCCTATGCAACTGAACCGCCCGTAGAGAGTCTCAAACCTCTGAGGAAATATCATATTAGTTTTAGGCTCAGTACCAGGAGAACTTGGAGAAATGTGATAGCCCGTGATATACAGGATGTCTGTATGATCTGTCCTGGCCTTAAACTTTACAAATAGTGAAATCTGAGATGATTAAGGTATCAGGGCCGGATATAAATATGTACACAAAGAAGCTGTGACGTGTTTTTTGCCAAAGAGTCAGGTTCACATATGAGCTGTGTTAGAACAAAACTGCCAATGAAGAAGAATTTTGTCTCTTTGACTTCCTGCACTTTTTTCAGGACTTTTTAACCAAGAAGGCAGATAAAACCTGAAAATGTTGACTTCCAAGCATATGGAATAGTAGTCATTGAGTCAGTGCAATCTGGTATCTATTACAGAAGGCAGAGAATTTGCAATCGGGTTTTAGAACAAACAAAAATGGTGAGAGACTCTACATTCTGTGATCCAAGTATCGATAGACTGAATATCCGCTCCTTACGGCTTGCTGTAGTGCTTAACAGTCCAGTATCCTGCCTAAGCTGAATGAGTCCTTTGGCACTCGGTCATTCAGCTGTTCAATACATGAACAGTATTCTTCATTCTTCTTAGCTGCTGAACAAGACTACTGGTTTATTATGGGGTAGAATTCATATGCTCTTATCTAGGTATCTAGCTTTTAGACATTTAAATGTCAGCAGACCAAACTAAGTCACTTCAAATTCAATGGTGAGATGCAGAAGCCTCCAGGGTGTGATTCATCTTGTCCGGAAATAGGTAAACTCTGAAGGACTGGGTGAATTGCTTGATCAATTGGAAGTTGGAGACTATATTACTCCTGTACTAATACTATGGAATCATAACCATTTCTTCCATAATATCATTTAAGTTACACACTGGACAAGCTTTAAACAAACCAATGTCTTAATCGTGGGAGAGCACTAAAATCTCTGAACATAACTTTAAATAACTTTTCCTTAAAAACAATATAACATGATTAACAGGATCATATAGTGTGACCCTGCGCAGCTAGAAATATGAGTTATTGTTAAAAATAAGACAGCCCCTTTTATAAAGTCCCCCTTTTACAAAACTCTGATTGCTACAATCAAGGAACTGTATCGGGCTTTAAGAACGCAACATTTAAGGTATCCAAGTATTGTACAGAGCTCTACAGATCTCATAAAATAGGCTTTGTACATTGTTTTATTCTACTTACCCAGAACACTCCTCTAATAATCTTCCAGAACACCAACTCAAATATTGCTCAAGTAAGTAATGGATACAGTTATTTACAGTTACTAGGAAAGGCAGCACTAAAAATAATAATAAAAAAGTATAGGAAATAAATGCACTGAAAAACATTGTAGAATTACTGATTATCTGTGTGCTGACTTATCAGTCATTTCCACATGTTCTAAGATCTATCGGTAAACCTGCAGTTTGGTAGAGCACAATCTGTAATAGAAAGGGATGTATAAACTCCGTCTTCCCTGCCAAATTTAGAAACCTGTGTGACTCAATGAATTACCCAATGCTTAATTTAAAACTCTTCATATATAGGAAGTCTCAGAGTTTTTCAATAGAAATTACCAGATTCATGAAAGCTACTCTGGACAACATGAAAGCTTTTCTTTTTTTTTTTTTTTAATCTATATGACTCATCTTTGATGCTGTAATATCTAACTTAAGTTTATACAATATGCAAATGAAAGAATAATAAAAATGATCAGAATCTTAGAAAGAAAATGCTTGTTTCTTCTAATGCTTATAACCATGTTTATATAAAGCATAGTGTTCAGTAATGAAATTCAATAATTCCCTTTGGTGGATTATACAGTTTAGAAACTGATACAGCAGATATAAGCCATCATTTACAAAAAGATGCCATCTGCTGAGCAAACATGCAATCAGCAAGCACTTCCTATTATACTAGAATCTTTTTTGTCCTTTATTGATTTTCTCCATTGCATTTCTAAAGCCCCTCAAGCAATCTGAGCCCGTGTAGCAAATGAAGAAAGCAAAGGACTTTTCAGTGACCCCAATATCAATTCTGCTTTGTACTTTACGCTGTCTCAAGGCTATGGACCTCATAGGTTAGTTCAAGCAAGAGACAGAAAACAGTGCATACATTATATGTTTGTATATAGTTCCAAGGCAACTGTGTAGAAATGACAGCCTAACCTTTGAGATTAAACATACTTCAAAAAAGCCATACAAGCATTAAATTATTCACCTGTATATCACTTAATTGTTGCTGCATGATACTTCTTTTCTGTTTCAGTTGTTCAATTTGCTTCTGCTGTTTAACTAGCGCTTGTACACTCTGATCCAAATAGGAGAGCTTCTGGAGAGTTTATGCATAAACAGATGTGTCAGTATTCAGAAGTTATTGTCCTACATTCTATAGAAATCAGAAAATATATTAGTCATTAAATACTTTAACAGTTACCATTCTTAAGATTATTTTTGTTTTCCCTTCCATACCCATTTTTCCATTGTGTAGGTTTATTTACTCTATGCTTTGAATGAAAAAATGCACGTTTAAAATAGAAAATATCTCTGCTACTTAGAATCATAGAATCATTAAGGTTGGAAAAGACCTCTAAGGTCATTGAGTCCAAC